TATGAGAAATGTTTCCTACTGTGTATCACAAATAGTAATTTAGTTTAAGAGTGTGGCATCCCATTGAACCAAGAAGCAGTGCTGTGGAAGGAAGATGTCCCTCCCTCCCCTCTTCAAAATGCCCTGCTGACTTCTCGCTTTCCCATCACTGTGAGCCTGGTATGCCTTTGCAGACTCAGACCCGTATATTTTACAGCTGCATTATTAAATTATCTGAGTGCTTCCTTTCTCTTACCTCCATGGAATTATGCTGGTGCTCTACATCTTGTTCCTTTTTGTATTACTTTTATTAGTCACAAGAACATAATAGAAGTGATAGACACAGCTTCTTAGAAATTGATACGGTATTTTTTATTTTTTAATCCAGTTACCTGTGGCTTTAAACTCCATTCTTCTTGTTAATGCAATCAAACGTTTGCTTTGTTTTGCTAACCTCAGAGCTGATGGTTTTGGTGTTATTACACTCGCCTCCTATTTCCTGTGGACTTGCTCATATATATTTTTTTGTTTTCTTCTTTTATGGAAAGACTTTCCAGTGAGTATTTCCTTGCCATATGTACATATCCTTGTACGTAGTTGAGTATGGCCAAAGACTGGCCCAAATCTGCAGTGCTGGGAATATACTGGGCAGTGTGGTGAAAAGTTCATCAATATCTGATGGCTGAGATGGCAATGGGATGGTTGTTGTCCGCTCACGTTTCTCAGTTGACAGGACAGCTTATGGACTTGCAGCACGTGGAAAAAGGCAGATGATTCTTTTAACAACTCTCTAATTACAGATTTTGGCTATGACCAAAAAGTCTTGCAATGGAAAATTATTGGCAGCTTCTTAATCATATTTCTTTTTATTGTACAGGGAACACTGTGTACCATGTGTAAAGTGTCTTGTAATAAAAGATGTCATTTCAAAGGTCAGACTTAATATATCAGGGGGATCACAAATTGAGCATATGATATATCTTACAAATAAGCACAAGCTAATGTGAGTACAATTAATGCAGGAAGGAACTTGTTAGCAGACACTTCCTGGTTGGATGCCCCCATCGTGGTGTTTGGAAGATCATATTCAAGAAACATTTTGGCAATGGAAGGGGGAGCAACTCAGTGATAAGTGAGGCAGATGAGGAAGGAAGAGGTTTCTGAACAGAGTGGATTTAAATAGCAAACCATAATGTGCCAGTGGCAGTTAGATTTTTAGCACTGAATATAATAGCAATATGGCTCTTCTCTGTGAGAGCTGTATTTATATTAAGAACATTCAGTTCTTTGGAGGGGTGCAGATTACAATTAAAATGTTCGCTTCCCATGTCGAGTCCTCTTGAGTTTTGTTTCTCGTCGCACACAACAACAGTGTGAATGAATTAGATGTCATTGCGGTGTGTGCCTGCGTGTGCCCACAGAATGGTGCTGGAAAAAGCTGCTTAAACTTGTTCGCTGCTGATGTCCTATGGAACATGATAATTGAAATACTGGCATGGTAGGCGTGGTACAGAAAATCTGACACTCACAGCAAGGCTGCTCTTAAAATAGCTGTAGAGCAGGAGATAGAAAGGACATTCAGCTGAAGTAAAATGTTACAGATCAATTTGTGTGCTTTCTGAAGAACTAGAAATAGGACTTGCTTTTACAAGGCAGCACATTTTAGAAAGAAATCCCTGCTACATTGTCCAGTTTCTTCATATCAACTGTGCTTTACACTTTGCTCAATTGTAGTTCTTGTACATCTATACATTCCTGGTGCAAATTATTCTGTGCAATAAAGAACAATAATTCTCAGAAGCAGTTTACTTTTCTTCCAGTGGAAAATAAAATTCCAGGTCTCTGAAACTTTGCCTAAAGGTAATCACAAATTTGAGTGATAAAATGTGGAGAGGATGCAAAGTTTGCTTTATGGCCCATATGGCACCAGTTCTGGTGATTTGCTCTGTTGCCAGTTGGCTGGATGCAGCAGTGACCGTGTGGCTTTGGTGAAGTAGTTCAACTGATGTTACAGTATTTAGGGTTATGAGGAGAGGAGAGAAATTAAATTGATATAATGAATACTTCAGGAATAACACAGTTCTGATCCAAATGTACTCAGTCATAGGGGACAAACAGTGTTGTGTGGTTTGGACATCAGGCATCCTAGATCATTGGGAGAATGGTCCTGAGCTTGTGATGTCTGTTCCATGGGAGGTGTCTTGAAGCATCTGTTTCCCTGTTGCAATAACAAAGATGAATGGATTTTTGGACCCCAGGACAGGGACACGAATTGATTTAGAAAAGAGAACGACACGCGTAGACATGCTGTTGCCATTTCCAAAGATATTTGCTCATTAGAGCGATAGGGCTACAGCTAAAGCTCTCTGCTGCTTATGGTGAGGCAGCTTGAGCTCTCGGCACAAGTGTAGTGGGGAAAGCACAGCAGAGTGTGCTGCGGTGGAGGAAGAAGTCGATCCAGAGGGCAAAAACAGGCACCTTAAGATGTAGAAACACTAGTGTTTGTTTCTCAGGGAAAGAGAAAATATAACCTAAGCCCACCAAAATAAACAGCTTTAATGGATAGTTCGCTTTTGTCTGGGCTAAGCCACTTCACTGAAAACAAAGTCAAGCGAGAGCTTTGGCAAAAGGAGCCTTTTGCAAATACAGCAGGCTGGAGACAGCGTGAGAGCTGTTCCGCACAACCTGGACGTAACTGTCCTGCTCTCACACCTCTTCTCCCCTGCCTTAGGGAAATGGGCAGTGGCCAGCTTTGGGGTGGCCTCTGCGAGGTCGTAGGAACTAAGCTTCATCTGTGCCCACTAGCTCCTGCCTGTTTACATTCTCCAAGCAGACTGGTAGGAAGGCAGTTTCCTGCGTACATGTTAGTCATGAGTGGTTTCAGTCAAGTCCCTGGTTTGAAAACAAGACAGTGATGTGAAACCAGTGTATCTCGTGAAATAATTAACTCCCAGTTGCTGTCACCCTCAGTCAGATGTTGTGTAATGGTCCCACGTGCTATGGAAACACTCTGTGGAATCAACAACGCTAGATATTATTTAACGTGATGAGCGTGGCAGGCAAAAGCTACTCCTTCAAGGTAATAAATCATATGACATTTAGCTACCTTTATCTTGGCAAGAAGCCATCAAGGCTTCAGGCTTTCAAGATGTATGAGTTGCTTTTGAAGTGTTTTTGCACTCAGAAGAGCAGGTCTGCAAATGAGACGCAATGAAATTCTGCATTTCTTGTACCTTGTGATTGTCAGATTAGACATATCTAGGCTGCAGAATAGCTGATCTTTATCTGTATAGATGATCTGTGTTTTTTTTCTTTCTTCAGATACTCTTTTGTCTTTCCAGTGTCTTAAGTTTCCTTTCATCCTCATTGCCCACCTATAACTCCAACTCTGTTTTCAGAGGACAGTAGAAGGCTTACATTTCCCAGGAGATGGTAAGGAGAATCACGCTTTTTCCCCATGTAGTTCTGTGCTGGCCTGACATGCAGTGACAGATGATGCTGGTAGGATTGGGCTCCACTGGCTTTAGAGTGGCACAGATACAAAGAAAGAGTGTGACTGTGTGGAGCTGGGGTGGTGCAGGGACAAAGCAACGTCACTCTGCAAAGGAGAAATGCGTCAGTTTTCCTGGTGGCTTTTACATCTGATTAAATGTCAGATGTGATAGGGCTTGCCTTTCTTTTCTGGATGGTCCTACTAAAAGAAAAGGCTGTATCTGATGCACAGTCAGTAACATTTGGTGGGAGATCAGGAGAGAGAAGTAAGCCGTTTGGGGTTCTAAGCATATGGGAGCACATCTTCAGTAAACTTTTGCAGAGAGAAATCAAATGTTGAAAGCGCACAAGCAGCAAGGGCACCTAGAAGTTATGTGACTGTTTTAGGGTATGTGACTCTGTAAGCCTGGCTGGAAGGCTCTGCTCTAATTGGTATTCAGCGCAGAACTTGGAAATGTACTCGGAGTGCAAGTGGTCTGACCTGTGGAGGAAACCATATGTCATGACTTGCTGAGTGTTCCCCTGAGTGAAGCACAGGAAGGAGCAGGGTGCATCCAGTATTTCACTGTCACATCATCCTCCTGCCCTGCAAATGTAACCAAGAATCAGCTGCAGAATTTCTTTTATGCTCAGTTAAAGAACTATTGACCATGGCCTAAGAGTTTTGTTGTTTTTTTTCTTTTTTTCTCTTTTTTTTTTTTTTCTTCTGAAGAACCATCACAGGTTGAAATTAAAGGTTTAAACTCCTCCAAATGGCCCCTGATGGATTCAGTCCTCTGTTATTGTTCCCAATAAAACAAGCATTTTCCTAAATAGAAAACCTCAATTTTCAGACAAATCATCTCCATAGTAACTGGTGATAAATCATTGCCACGGGAGCTGGATTGCTCTGACATGCAAAATACAGTATTCGTACTCTCAAGTTGCTTTTGTCTGGTCAGCTGGATTGAAATAACTTTTTAATTCTAAAAGCAAAGTAGTTCGTTTTAATTATGAGAAGTCAAACATCCAGATGAGAAATTTTGGATCTGAGGATGCACGTGAAACTTCAGTTCAACTCCTTGCTTGCACTGTCTCTGGTCTTCAATTAAATTACCCCTTCCTACCCTTTCCACTAGCCCTCACATTGCTCGATGGGGATTTACACGGTGTTTCTTCTTGCTCCCCACATTCAGTTTGTGGCCATGAAAACTGACTTTTTGCAGATCCAGATGAAACTTCACTTACTTGTGGCATTTCTCTAGTGCTTTTAATATTATTTTAAAACTTTTATGGATATAAATGAACTTATCTCCATATAACACTTTTCAGAGCACCGGGTGACATTGGTGCTGTATGTCAGGGGGACTGAAGCCCAGAAGAATAAAGTCTAAAATTCTAATACTGTAGGAAATGTCACCCAGTCCGGGGTTTTTAGATGGAAACACAGAGGTATATTTAAGACATCTTAGCATTTAAAACACAGCTCTAATTGATCTCAGCTGCAACTCTGTAGGCCCTGTCAATCTGCCTGCGAGTGCCCAAGTGCAGGCAGCTGGAAAGCAGGAGTGGTCCTGCATGAGGTGATTGCTCACCGAGTATTACAGAGGAGATCTGGGTCACGGATGAGCAGAATTCCCTTCTCAGAGGTGGCACTTGAGGGCTGGACTGTGAGATAATCACTTTCTTCTGCCATCCTCCTCCTTATTCAGTACATCCTACAGGTAGGCGCAGTGCTGGTTTTCTATGTGGGCAGAAGGATTTTTCATGTTTATTTGTATTTGGAGCTATTAATTTGAGGGTTTTGTTTTTAAAGGTGTACTTTTTCCTTTATTCATTTCCAAGTGCTTTAATTTCTGAATTGAAAGGATTTGTAAGTGTAGGTGCAAAACTTTTCCCATTTTCTCTCTTTGTGTCAAACAATGAAATGACATTGGCTTGCTGCGTTATATGCTGCAGTAAAAGCATCTCTGGGAGTACCAGTCTATTCATTTTCTTCATAGAATTAATCAACAAAAGTTGTTCCAGATAGGCTTATTTCTTTTGGTTTCCCAGGAGCTTTCTTGTTCTTTCCTCCATGCTAGCTGATGCAAGTCACACTAAAAATCAAAACCAAAGCCCAAAGCAATAGTGAAGCCGCAATCACAGTGGTACAGGAACAATTAAAAACAGGCTCATTGCAAATGGTGAAGGAGACAAACACAGCCATGGAGGAAAACAGCACTTCCTACACACCAGAAAAGGCACTCGAGGCAGGTTAGGTTTCTTTGTTAGGTTTCTAAAAGGTTATTTTAAAAGGCTGTGATTTGAGTATTTTTGAATGTAATCACCAAAGCTTGTTTCAAGGTTTAGCTGAAGATCAAGATCCTGCATAAAAGCTTTTTCCCCAGTAGGTGAAGGTAGTGGGGGTAGGGCCAGCAGCATCATGGAGCAAAGATTTGCATTGCTTACCATGCCTCCTAACAAAAATGGTAATGGCTGGTCTGGGGAAATCTGGGAAAACTTGTATGCACTGGCTTGGATGCACACAGGTGTGAGTATACACGTATATTTGATGTTATTATTATTATTATTTTTTTCCCCTGATGATTTAGCAGTATCTAAATGTGGGGAAAAATATGTGTGAAACCTGCTCTTACAAGAGTTAAATTGTGCTGAAATTTTTAGATCTTTGTTAGCAGACAAAATCCTGGAACGTCATTCTCTCCAATGGGAGTGAGGAGGCACAAGTGGTAATTATTGAGGGACAAAATGGCATTGAGTACTTGCTTGTGCTTGGCCTTGGACCACTGGTTCTCTGAGTAGAGTATACTAAAGATGTGGCATGATTATAATACATGGGATTCTTTTGGAATAGAGGAACACAACTTTTTTTAGATTTTAAAGATCTCCAGAATTTTTTTTAATTGGCAGTAAAACAGTAAGACACTTAAAATGCAAACTATAACCATAAACAGGGCTTTGTTTTATATTTATGGCTTGTGAGTAAAGATTGCACAAAATGGTAACTTTTAATTTTGCGTTAACCCAGCCTCCTTCCGCACCAGGCGGGCTCTGGGGTTGTGCTGGCAGTTGAGGGAGCCTCGCGTGCAGGGAAAGACGAATCAATTACTGCCTGTGCCTTGCGGTGGGCTGTCCCCAGTGAAATAATCTAAACCTGTCAGATTGTGACAGCTTGCTCTACCTGCACAAATAACACTGTTTTAAGAAATCAAGGACTGCTGATATTGCTGTAATAGATCTAAAAGCGCATACTGATGTGATCTCCCATCTCCTGCAAGATGGCATTTGAAGCTGCTGGCGTGCTGAATATTTCTGCAGTATCAGCCTATCATCTGAGAAACGTGGATCAGATTTTTTGAAAGAGTTCAGCATCGAACAAATCTCCCTCTTGTCTGGCTCTGATATTTCAGATCCTCATACATGAAAACCAGTAAAAAAAAAAATAAAAACAACCAACCTTCCCTACTTTAAAAGCCACAGCAGGCTTAAACAGCTGCCTGGAGAACATCCTTGTGTATCCAAAACCTATATTGTACTGAAATGTTATGTCCACATACTCTGTTACAGCATGTACAAGTCTATTGGAGCACTTCTCAGGTTTCAGAGTCCCAGAGAGGTTCCCAGAGCACTCAGCCATGTCCTTTCTGTTGGACTAGAGCTTGCAAATTGGTTTGTTTTTTCAGTGTTTTTGAAAAAGTAAAAACTGAAGATAAAAAACTCAATTTGGATCAAAGCAAGGCAGCTATCGTTGGTATTTTTTAGTTTTGCAATGAATGGAGAAGCTGTGTTTGGAAAATGTTTGCTCTGATTAACCTGAAACAATTTGTTAAAGGCAAGTGAGATACTTGAATTGCGTGGGTGTTTGGTTTAGTTTTGTTTAACAATTAAAAAGCCATTTAAAGTAGAAAATGCTACATAAAAATGAAAAGCTGAAGAATCTAACTTCCAGGTATTTTTGAAAAAATAAACAAAAAAAACCACTTATTCTGACTGAAATTAATTTTTATTTTAACCAGATTTTGCAAGTATCTTTATCTAACTATATGGAATAGCCATTTGGGGGTGGGTGAACTTTTTGTCAAGATGTTTTCTGCCAGCAGAGTAGGAGAGATGGACAAATGTTGTTCTTACTGTCCTGTTAAGAGAGAGATCACAGAGCCTTTAACGCCTTGTGGTTTTTTAAATCGTATCTAGGAGATGAGTGAATGAGCTGCATTTCCAGCCACAACAAAATATACATTGGTCAGCTTTAGGAGGACACTGTTGACAAAATGCGACTTTAAGGTGTGAAATATCTTTCTGAAATTGTCCATTCACGTTACTTATTTTTAGTGCTTTGAGCACAGCTATAAATCCAAGTAAACAGTGTCTAGCTGTGTCTCTGCTCTAAATAAAGTGCATCAAAAAGTGAAGTTTAATTTCTCCTCAAGATCTCTTGAGACTTATATTTTTGAAACTCCATCAGTTGCCTTGACACTGTGGCAGTAGCCAGTTTTTTTTCTAAGGGATCATTTTCTTGCCCAGAAGTGCAGTTGACCTTGATACTGCAACGGTCTCTATAGGAAAGGATGGTCAGAGGCTACACCGATGGCTGACATAAAGGACAAAGGCAGTCCCTAAAGCTAAAACCTCATAATTTCTAGTAATCTGATAAATGTAAAGAAGCAACACAGAAATGAATGATCTGCAAAGAGTGAGCATTGAGCAAGTTGTAAGGAAATGCAAAGGTGGCCATTGCAGCCTACCTTTTTGAGTTAGAACATCAAAAGGCTCAACAGAGCTGCGTTCCCACCGCACTGCCTGTTGCGTGTGATACAGGATGAAAGGCTCTTCCCTGAGAAATTTGCAGTCTCAGATGACAACAGGTGAGACTAATGCAACAGTTGTCTTTCCATTTGACATGGAGCTTTATCACAAAGGATAAAACAATGTTCCCAGAGCACGAATGGTGCAGAGTCGGAAAATGACCGGATTTGTTGTGATTCAGTTCATTGCTTTTTTTGCTATAAGGTAATCTGTCTTCCTGTCTGACTTATGCTGTGTATTTAATCAGGTGCTGAGTGAATCTCTTACTTTGAAAATCTAAACTAATAATGGACATAAAAATCCTGGTAAATGATAAGCTGCAATAAGACAAGTCATATCTTCCCTAATGACAGCATAATGAACTGAATTTAAAATGAAATCCTATCGTGAACAGTCATGGCCCATTAGACAATGAAATTTCTTCTTAAACTGACTTTTTAAAAGCACTTTGCAAAAAATGAAAATGAAACAAAATTGCACAATATTGTTGGAAGCCACTTGCAGCCAGATCCTAGTGATCTTTAGGGGTAAAAACTAACCAGCTACAGTAAGTACTCTGCTTGAGCAAGGACATAACCTCTAAAAATGTCAGCTGTGAATTACATGTCATCCAAATCATTCCAGCAAGATTTAACAGCTAATATCACTGTTTATTGTTTTTAATATTATACCCATCAAGAAAAAATGGAAAAAGAAATAAAAAGATAGGTAAGGGTTCTTTGCTTGTGATGAGTGCTGTTCTATGTGGATCACATAGAAAAGGGAGAAACATGAAGATCACAGATGTTAAATGCTGCAAGTTTTGAACAAAACATTTCTAAAATAGCAAGTGGGGTGACTTCCCAAAGGCAGCCAAAAGGAGATGCAGAGAATGGAAGTGACGGGGGAAGTGTTTGGCTTTGTTGGTAAGTGTTCCACAGCAAGCCTTTCATAGATCCTGTACCGTTGTAGTCATCATCTTTGAAGCAAATCCAAAACAGTCTTCTAATGAAAAATGATTATTGCAAACTGGACTAAGAATGAAAATTTAAATCAGAAAAAAATAATAATTGTAAATTTCCAAATCTTATGGAAGTCCAGGATGGTGTAGGTTCCTATAGCTCACCACTTCCTTTGGAACCATCTAGCTGAAGATGCTTTGAAAATGGGATCATAAAATCCACAGCCCCCCAAGCACTTGAAATTTTTTTTATTCTTCATATTTCTTTCATTTAAAGTCTGAATGTTCTATATTATTTTCAACTCTTCTATATTAGGTATTAATGATATTTTAGCCACGAGAGACAGATATTTCAATACCTTTTTAAAAACTTTCTTTTGCTTCTTTTAAAGAAAAAGGGTGCATGGCAAATGCAAGATTATCGTTCCAGTAGTATTTACAAAAATAACAGATATTCCTACAATAATGTAATACACTTTCTTTGTATGTGTTTTTTCTTTTCTTTTCTTTCTTTCTTTTTTTTTTTCCCCTTTAAGAAGGAGCATCTGTTCTATAGTTATTTCAATGCTTGGGTAATTCATCTAATGATTACATGGATGTTGGCTGGAAGGCAACACAGTACATTGTAGAGGAAGCTGTAGAGAGGCTAGTAAACACAGGCTTATGTAGTTTTAAGGGAGGCAAAAAGAAGAAAATACACTGTTCTGAATGATACACATAGTTGGATATCATCAGTCTGCATTTTCAAAAGAGCTGCACATTTAGTCACTGCCATTGTTCCCAGCAGGAGCTCTCATACTGAGTTCTTTTGAAATCTGACCATTAGAGATTATTTTGATCCATCCTTGAGTGAGAACACAAAAGCTAAAGTAAATTGTTTCATCAATACAAGTTTATAATTTTAGTCCAAAGATGTCTAGGGCACTTGCACACAGAGAGGAGCTCTGAATAAAAGATAATTGTATATCTTATTCAGTGTACCTATCTGGCTATGCTGTTTAGAATTGATATTGGAGGAAGTAAAATTGAAATGGAGAGGATGCTGCCTGGAAGATTTATGTGATTATAAAGAATTGGTTAAATTTTAACTAGTTTCATTTGGACTGATGTAAAATGGGATAGGTTGTTTCTCATTTCACTGTGATGGAAATGGGCCTTGATTCAGATGTCTCTTTTGGTGCTAATCTGCTGGCTTTACAGCAAAGTAATGAGGATTGGGGCTACAGTGTTTGTGTCAGCTGGTAACGCAGGCTTATAGACAAAAAACATTTTACTGGTCAACCAAAGCATTTACCAATAAATTATCAAATGCTTAGTCCTTTTGACCCTAAAATTAGTTATTTAACAACTGTAGTGAGAGCTGTGGAGCAGCTTGCTCTTGCAAGTTGTCCTTTCATGTTGCTATCCATTATGGTGAAGCAAAATGTAACTGGTTGCCACTGTCAGCAGATGTTAGGAAATAATGAGCTGGTAATGAAATAAAGCTTCCCAGTAGGACCTAAGGGTACAGCACCAATGTGATAATAAAAATACACCGAGCATGTTAAACAAAAGCAGACTGCCTTGGCAGGAGTCCTAGAGGTAGAGAACTGAGTTAGGTCAGCCTTGGCTAAAGGACCAAATGGGGTCAGCAATATTTAGAGTAAATAATAATCCCCATTGTCGTTCCAGTTGCAGCCTTGGACTTTTTTCTTCCTGTCCTTTAAGCATCTTCCTGCTCACAAGATGAATTTCATCGAGAAACATGTTTAAAGAAAAGAACAAAAAGGCAAATAACAACCAGTGCACAAAAGTCTTTTAATCTCATGAAATTTTAGTTGCATGTTATAGGTTAAGTGGAGGGAAATGAAAGAAGGAACCACACAAGTATTTGCAAATGGTAATGTTGTGCGTGAAAAGAAAATAAGTCACAATTAAGAGGCAATCTTCCGTGTATTTCTACAAGTAGTCCCATGAATAATATTGAGCATAAGGGGCTGAAGCTCAGACCAGCATCTTTAGAACAAGTTATTTGGACATGTCAAATCCCAGTGTTATTTTAGTGTGCTTCCTTCATTAAACAAAAATAAGAAATAAAAGTATAGCTGCATGTGCCTATGTGCATGTGTTGGACAAGTGCATTAATGACCGCAGAGCAATTTTGGAAGAAGCAGACAATGAAATATTTTGCAATAATAAACCAGCTGACATGCTAGGTAACACTGCACAATCATTTCAAAACAGCTTCTGGGAAGTTTCCGTCCTGTAGCTGGAGCCATCGGTGATGTGTAAGGAAACCCCAGATCACCAGTGTGTTGTGATTTTCTCCTCTACCAGTTGCGCCCCTGACAGGGGGGTGAAGAGGTAAGGATTGTTAGTGGGAAGGGATGACTTTTTCTCAGGGACGTGTGAATCAGTTGTCAAGACTGGCAGGGTATAAAAGGAAGTGCCACAAACGTCTGATTGCACTCGGTGGCATGGGAGTAGAGAAGTGATGCTCACAGAAGAGAAACTGGAAAATTTCTTTTGATAGGCCAAATTGAGTAGAAACATGATTGAGGAGGAATAACAGGTGGATTTGTGAGAGAGCATTTTGGAAGTAATGGGGTTTGTGTGTGGAGCTAAATAACTGGCAATATTATGTATCTGAAAGCGTGTACAGTCAGCTTTTGAAAATGGAGAAGAAATGTCAATGAAGTCAAAGCTACTAATCTGGCTGCAATAGCTGCGGGGGTGACATGGGGTCCAATAAGTGGGATAAGTGAAGAAGGAATTAGCAAGCCATCCGGAAATGATTTAGGCAGCTGTCTCATCCCTTCCCCTGCAGTAAGTCGTGCGGGGAGTATTGCTTCCCTTATTTCCAACTGTAGAAATCTCAGGAGGCAGCAAAATTTCAATGAAGAAGTGATGACAGCTCAGGGAATGGAGTTCATAATGGAAGCAATGAAGCAACCTTATCTTCAGCACGTATTTGTGCTCCCATAATATAGATCTCCTATCTTATTTTATCTATATTAGTGAAAAATAGTGTCTCTTAAATTTATTTTTAAACTAGTTCCTGAAAGAAACAATACATGCGTGATTGCTGGGTCTTTTTCCTCTCCAGTTACCAGCTGGCAACTTTTGAAATAAAGATAGAAAGATAATTATGCTCCCACATGCTAATTGTAAAAAATTGGCATCAGATGGGCAAGGAGAGACCCAGATTAGTCCCTGCA